GTTTAATGTGATCAACAAATGTCGAGAGCTTAATATAAAATTCATTCTGCTTCCCCCCAACAGTACTCATATGACGCAACCACTTGACGTCAGCGTGTTTAGGCCTGTCAAAGGCGCCTGGAGAAAAACTTTGCAACAGTGGAAAAAGCATAACAAAGGTGTCGTAAGAAAAGATGTATTTCCACGGCTCCTTAATCAGGCCTTGAACAGCATAGAAGGAAGAACAGAAGATAATATAAGAGCCGGTTTTGAAGCAACAGGTATTTTTCCTCTCGACAGGGAAAAAATTTTATGCAAGCTCCCCAAGGAAGTTACCGAAGAAGCAGTAAATAATTTATTGACACAATCACTGACAGATTTGTTTCAAAGATCCCGATTTGGAAATGCAGACACTGCAAGGGGAAGAAAGAAGAAATTGAATATCGAAGCAGGTAAAAGTATTTCCCAAGAGGATCTAGAACAGAATGAACCATCTTGTTCAAACATCAAACTGAACAAGAAAAAAGAAGACAAAAAAATCCCACGCCAACAAAAGAAGAGAAACAATAATAGACAATATGGAAGCTCATCGGATAGTGACCATGATTCCATTCCGTATGCTGATAGTGACAATGAACCTGAGACGTTTTCTGATCTTGAAAATTGTTCCGAAGAAACTGAAGACTTAGTAAATGTTAATAATGGCCCTGCTGCGACTGTTTTTGAACCGGAAGACTTTATCTTAGTGACTTTGAAGACTGAAAGTGGGACCTCCAAAACGTATGTTGCCAAAATTTTGAATTCGAAAGGGAATACTTTCCAATGTAAATTTTTAAGAAAATCTCTTAAGCTGAAAAATGCTTTTGTTTATCCCGATGTAGAGGACATTGGCATTGTTCAAAGGAACGAGATATTAGAAAAACTTCCCCAATTCAAAATTCTTCGAAGAGGGCAAATTTCCTTCGAAAGTTTGGAAGAGCGCCACAAAGGAGTCAATGTAGCATAATTTGTTTCTTTAATTTGGACTTACCTGAGTGCCTTCCATTTGTGAGAATTTACTTTAGTTTTAAGAATTCCTACCTATTTTTTGAAAAAACCTATTTGTTTCACGACGTTCCACTGTCGCTAAAGAGTCTTTCGTTTTTTTTTATGAGAATTTATGTTCATTTTTATGTTTTTTCCATAAATGTTTTGTTATTACTTGACGTTTCACCAAAGAGATAATATTTGTTCCGTTTTGATCTCATGAGATTTGTTTTTTTATTGTATTTTATGAAAATAAACGTTTTTCTTATGCAAAACCGTGTTTTCTTTTGCAAAAAGTGGTTTTTGCAATGCCTATTTTTTATTCTATTTCTCAAGAAGCCCCAATTATGCCCCTACTTGCTGTTTTAACGCCAGAAACCGGAGAATTTCAAGTGTCCCCATCCCGGGGCGACTTGAAAAATGACATTTAAAATTTTTTTACAGAAAAGGGGTGGGGGATATGGGAATAATTTTCATGGCAATCGATAGCCAGGAGCTCAAAGTAATCTAAAAAAATTTTGGTTTGGCTGAAAACGCTTTACTCTGATGTGTGCGATCAGTTGAAGTCCAAAAGTCCTATCAAGTAACCCCGTTCTACGGTACTGGAAACAATTTAGAACTCTTTTGAACCAATTCAGAACACTTTGGAGTTTCAATAGGGCTCTAAAATACTCTAATCTGTCAGAACAAATTAAAAATTACTGAAAATCTTTTAAATTGCTCCAGAATTCTTCAAGTTAAGTAAGAACACTGTAGAACTTCAATAAGCCATTTAGAACGTTCCAAAACACTCTCTAGCAACATTTTGAAAGGCTTCAGAACAATTTAAAAACCTCAGAATTATGAGAGCCTAGCGCCTGGAATGGACAGAAATTGACAGTTATAAAATTAGTAGGTAATAATCATGAAATATTAGTCCTGAAGATGTGTTTAGGTATTAAGCGTTTGAAAGACGTTGGGTCTTTAAGACGCCTTGAAGACGTAAACAGACGTCTAAAACACTGATTTCCAAAGAAAGAGTACAAATTTTCAAGGAAACTCATTTCATATGATCTCAATTTAGTGCAGGTTCAAACTCCTGAAAAAGTGTTACTAGTAAGTATTCTGAGCCTTCTGAGTACCAACCTTAAGAAGCTCAATTAATATATGAACAGACAGGTTCTTCTTCGTATGCTTGTTCATTTCATAATCTTTTTGTGAAATTTCAGCCATTTCCATGCTCTCCACCTAATTTCACTCCCTGTTCCCATTCTTCTTAATGTATTTTTTTGTTTTATTATATTATATTAAAAGCTTTGGATTGAAAAAAATATCAAAAATCTCCAACGGACTTGTAATAGCTTCTTTTTCTTCCCTTTTTCCTCTTTTTTCCTTCCTACCATATTTCCAGAAAAAAATCAATTGCGACAACTCTTTTTCCAGTTTCTGGTAGGTATGTGCCTATACCTATTCCTCAATTTTCTTTGTTCTTTTTCTGCTTTTCTTTTCAGCTCTTTTTTCTCCAATTTTTGTCAGCTTTTCGAAAATTATCTAGACTCTACAAGAGATGTGTTTTTTTGCTGCTTCTTTTGTGAATCAAAACCAGCTAACTTGACTTGAAGCTATTATAGATAACTGCAAATCAAAGTGAGTCTCTTTTAAAACCTTATAGTCATGAAAATCAACCAAAGTTTATAAGAATTAGGCTGACATGTTCAAAATTAACTGGAGATAGGTACTTCAAAATCATGCTAAGTCACACGTGGCAATTAAGCTGGGTCGTTTCTGAGATACTGAAAACTAGCTAAGAGACTTGAAAATAGGCTCGTCCATTGAGAATATTAGCTGAATCGTTTCTGAGACACTTAACTTAAAAATTAAGTTGTATCACTTAAAAATTAAACTGAGTAATTCTTGGGATAATCAAAACTAACTAAGAAACTTGAAGATCAAGCTGAGACTACTGAAAATCAAGCTGAGTATAGCTGTTGAGACATTCAAAATTAACTTAGCAGGTTTGAAAATCAAGTTGTATTACTTAAAATTTGAGTTGAGACGCTTCTTAGATACTAAGGGCCGGTATTTCAATATAACCTTGAAATCAAGACTTGCCTGAGGTACCCTTGACGTTAAGGTGAACTTGAAGTCAGATTCAGGTGGCCAAGATCCACCTTGATTTAAGGGAACTTTGACATACGGGTAAACTTGCACTAAGGTCATTAAGGATGACTTAACGTTATTCTGTACGTTAAAGTGACATTGAAATACCGGCCTTAAACCTTGAAGATTACTTTGAAGCTTGAAAATCTTTCTCAAACATTTGGGAATTGAGTCGCTTCTCAGACATCAACTGAGAGGCTTGAAAGTCGAGCTGAATCACCCAACATTAGGTTTGTTCTCACAAGAGTCTCTGGCAGTTTGCAAACTGTCAGAAACAATGGTTCAGCTAAATTACCGATTTATCTTGTACAATACATATGTGTGCCGATGAAAAACTGTCAGATATTTTTGTGAGAACAGACCTGTTGGAACACTATATACTTCAAACTAACTGGGTCATTATGAAATCAAGATGTAGTGTTACTTAAAAGTTTAGCTGAGTCGATCTGATACATTTAAAATTAGCTAGACGCTTGAAAATCGAACTGAGGCGCTTTAAAAGTAAGCTGAGTCAATCAAGAATAAAGCTGAGACGTTTTTGAGGCATTCAGCTTGAAAATTGTTTACTTCTGAGATACTCAAATTCAATGAAGAAGCTTCAGATAACTAAAAATCAAGCTTAGTCGCTTCTGACGCAATCAAAATCACCTTAATTACTTGAAAGTCAAGTTGAATCACTTGAGAATTGGTTTGGAAGGTTTTGAGATACCTAAAACTAACTTATAGACTCAAAAATCGATGATGTGAATCACTTAGGAATTAGTTTGTCGTTCCTGAGATAATTAAAACTAACTAAGAGGCTTGGAGATCTGGCTAACGTGTTTCAAAACTAAGCTGAGCCACTTAGGAATATAGCTTAGTCGTTTTGAGGCACTAAACTCGAAAGTTAATCTAGGTTTCTTGAAAATTAAGCTGGATTGTTTTTGAGATACTGAAAATTAACTGAGAAACTTGAACATCCAGCTAAGACAACCTAAAATTAAGCTGAGTCGCTTTTAAGACACTTAAACTAAGTAAAGAGTTTTGGAAATCGAGCTGAGTCACCCAAGATTGGTTTAAATATCCGAAAACTAATCTGAGTCATTTGTTAGACAGTCAAAATTCACTAAAATAATATCAAAAGTTGAGCTGAGACCCTCAAGAAACTTGAACATCAAGCTATGACGCTGAAAACTGAACTAATCTCAATAAAGGGCTTGGAACAAATTGAAGATCTAAGTTTTAAAGGGAAAAATCCAATTTTCAACATCTCAATTTTGTTTAGGTTGAAACTCTTGAAAAATTGTGAGTAGTAAGTATTCTGGGTATCTTGAGAAGCTCAATCAATGACTGAACAGAATTTTCGAAGAAAGGGTTTGGAACCTTGAAAATTGGGACCTTCAAATTTTCAAGGGAAAATTCCAATCTTTAACATACCTAACTCCATGAGCTCAATTAAGTGTTAAAACCCTCTAGGGTAAGAGAAAACACCAGTTACATCCTGTACCATCTAAACTAAGCAAACATTTGATATGTAGACCCTTATGAGAAGATTTCTTACTACAAAAACACAGCTTACTTCTCAGATCCCCTCGTATCCAAACTCCAATCAGGCCCCGAAATAATGTCATTAGGCTTTTGTACGTACCTAAAATTGTGCAATCAAGCATCCAACACAATAAAAAAAAGGCCCCCTAAACGGGGGTTGAAAGCGCAGCAACCACCCTGGACGGTATAGCACAATCGAAACCCTAAGGCCAACCAATCCAAACCCGAGTTTTATCTACCGAGGGGGCTCCGCCCATTTGCGCTACTTTTACTACCTCACCAGTAGGCCTGGGCGCCCCGTTTTGCACCAGTTTGTCATAGTGTTTCGAGCCAGACAGTTGATGGCAATCAATCAATAATAAATCAATCCGTAGTTTTTTTTTTTTGTGTGGAAATTTGACATTTTGTGGTGTTTTGACAGAGTTTTCTGGTGTTTTGTGTTAAAATGAATATAGGCGTTTTTGAACACCAGCAAGGACCCATTGGGAATAAACAAGGAGGTGCGTTGTTATATTTATTGTTTCTCAAGTTTTTTTTTTTCTAAAATGCCTTTTGAATTTTTTGAACTACAAGTTTTTTGTTTCTACTTTTCCAAAAATTATTCAACTCATTCACAATCATTCATTATCAATTTCAGGTTACTATCCGCAACCCTACACCCCACCAGGTCCGGGCCAGATAAAACAAGAAGCCGACTCTTCGACTTCGCCCCTGTTGACGCCTCCTCACACTCCAACTTACCCCTCTCATTCACCTCCATTAACTGCTTACCACACTGAGCCCAACAACAACTGGTACCCTAGACCAGAACCCATGGAAACTTTTGCACCCACCAGACCCAGCTTCGCTCCTCCAACAATGGGAGGAGGTTTACTCCAATACCATCCAGGCTACAATGCAGCTTTCGTCAATCAGTGGCTTCGCAATGCTGCAATGTACCATCAACATTTTCGTGGTTACGATGTTAGAGCCAACCCAGGTAGACCTCAAACTGCTCTGATGCCATCTGCAAAAATCGGAGGCAGTACCCGACCCAAAAAACAATTCATATGCAAATATTGCAACAGGCAATTCACCAAAAGCTACAACTTATTAATCCACGAAAGAACCCACACAGATGAGAGGCCTTATAGTTGCGACATTTGCGGCAAAGCCTTTAGAAGACAAGACCACTTAAGAGACCACAGGTAATTAATTCAACAAAACCTATATATTTCTTATTACAACTAAATCAATTTTCCTTATTATACATAGATACATTCACTCAAAAGAAAAACCATTCAAGTGCACCGAATGCGGCAAAGGTTTTTGCCAATCTAGAACACTAGCAGTCCACAAAATCCTCCACATGGAAGAATCGCCTCACAAGTGCCCAATATGCTCAAAATCCTTCAACCAAAGGTCCAATTTGAAAACCCACATGCTAACCCACACTGATAGACCACTAGAATGCATCAAATGCCAGCAATTTTTCGCTTCATATCACGAGTTGAGAAACCACGAGGTGTTTAGGTGCGGAGATTCCGAAGGCAAAATCGATTCTCAAATGGTTACAACTACTATTGAGATTGAACAAGAAGTTAGTTTGCTGGATTTGACCAAAAAAGACGAAGATGAAGAGATTATTGTTGAAGTTGAAAAGGTTGCGCCTGTTAAGAAGTTAGGGTTTAGTATAGAGGATATCATGAAACGATAGGAGGTTTGTTTTTTTCTTGTTTTGTTGCCAAAGAATGTTTGATTTGTTTTCTACCTCTTCGAGACTGATTGATGAGTTTTTAATTTTTGAGTTACCACTTAGTGATGAGTAAAATACATATCTTGTGATAAGTTTTAGGTTTTTTTTTTTGGGCCAAATTGTTGCTAGCCTGATAATGGTGTATAGTTGGCAGTATTATTTTGTAAATATGTATGTATAAGGATTTTTTAGGAATATTACTATAACAGAGTATTTATATATTTTTTCGTTTCCTTGTTTAGTATTACGTGATACTTAATAAAATGTTTTAGTTTTTTTTTTGGGGAAGTTTTTGTCTTTTATTTACTCATGCCTTGATTAGAATTGGGAATGGTTTTGTTCAGAAAAAATCCTAAGTGATGGCAGTTCAATACTTTCTCCAGAAAATCGCTCCTAATTCTCTACGATGTACCATCGTCACTAAAAGTATCTGGGACAAAAATAATTCATACTAATCTTCTGGACTAATTCTACCATCATTCATTATCGTTTGACACTAAGAATCATATAATAGTACCGGCTAATATATGATGCTGTCCCAGTTACTCTTGGTAACGATGGTAGGTACTTTCAAAATATTGAAATTCGAATACTTAACTTGAAAAAACTAAGGTACAGTTTGTTAATCTTATCCTGAGCTTTTCCATATATGTATTCGAGTAATTCAATGAAAAAGATGCTCAGGGCCCGGATTCCGAACTCACGATTCGATCGTATCGTCTATCTATTTTATATGGACGATCCTATCGAATAATCGAATCGTGAGTTCGGAATCCAGGTCCAGGATAGAGCAGTCAAACCGTATAAGTGATAGATAGATAGAGCTTCTATCTACGGTATTTACATAGAAAACTTGAAATTTTACCAATGTACCAATAAAAATACCTAGAAAGGAGGTAGGTAGGTATAGGTATAAAAAATCGTAATTTTAATTTTTTATATTTTTCAAAATATGACTTTTCCAATCGATAGATTGTAGATTGTGGGGGAGTCGTTTCGGCTTTTCAGTCGCTCAGCACTGCTACCTTTGCAGAAATTTTGTACGTGACTCTACATCTTAAATTGTCTCCACTTGACTACTGCCGAAAGAAGCTATTTTCCTGGGTGCCGAGATCGTCTTCTGCTCTGCCCATTAAACTTAAATGGTAATTTACCATCAGGCAGTGTCATGTGAGCAGTCCTACCACCAATCTGATGTCTGGTCTGCTCATGTTTAGGAGCTGTTCAGCTCTTTTTGCTGAAAAGGTGATAAAGCTTTTTGACTGAGTCCCGGAGTGTGCCTCCAAATATGATGACAGTTGGTCTTTTTCCCATTTGTTGAGTTCTTCCATGATGTGGCTGTTCATTAAGCCACAGTAGGGCCCTGGTCCATAGTATGGTGTTGAGGCCCCTTCTTTTGCGAGGCCATCTGCTTCCTTCTATGCCTCGATGACCAGGCAGCCACATCAGCGTTATCTGGTTGTGTGTCGCTAGTGTTTTTAGGGTCTGTTTACACTCCCAGACTATAGTATTGACGTGCATTTGAAAGCCCTTAGGGCTGTTAAAGCAGCTAGGCTGTCCGATAGTACGAAGACGTGTTTTCTTTTGAGGCTTTGGTTAATACACTCTTGGTGCACATATATCTATGGCAAGCAGTTCGGCTTGAAATATTGTAAGATGTTTACCCAACACCTTGGAAAGCTTGAAGTTAGAGCCGGAAATGCCCAGTCCAGCTCCTCTTCTATTAGCTTGGATCCATCTGGGTACCACGGAGATGCATTGTCTGCTTGTGGTAGGCAATTCTTTATATTCTCTCATAATTGGCAGTCGTTGATTACCACTGCGAATGGGATCTCTAACTCCAATCTGACCATCATGTGGTCACTTGGTTTGCTGGCTTTCTCCAGTTTTACTAAATCAAGGATGCGCAGATGTCTCCTCAGATCACCAGGCTTGAACTTGTCTGTTTGGAATAGCCTGTGAACGCTGGTTATTGCCTCATTTTTCACCCATAGGTGAAGTGGGGGCATGTTGAGTAGCGTCTCTAAGGCTGCGGTGGGGCAAGTTGACATTGCTTCCGTTATTCCTAGATATATCAGCCTTTTTACTTTTCTTAATTTGATCTGAGCGGTGTTTTTCTGGGTTTTGGGTCACCACACCAATGAGGCATATATCCTATTCACAATCTGTAATCCAAAGGTACAGGTAAATTTATAGCACCGCACCGCATAAATTTTACCTGTATCTTTGGACTACAGATTGTAAATAGATAATAGGTCTGGTTCTGCAGAAATCACAAACCAGTCAAAGCAAACTTCATTGGTTGAAAACAGTCAGAAAATTAGTTTCAACCAATGAAATTTACTCTGACTGGTTTGTGATTCCTGTAGAAACAGACCTAATATGTGACCATGGGCTTTAATATAGTTTGGTAAATCCAGAATACCATCTTTGGCTTTAGCCCCGATGTTTTGCCAACAAGTTTTCGGCATGACCAGATATCTGGCCATATGGCTGATGTAGCTCAAGAGCATGTTTCTCCAACTGTTTGTTCCGAGTGAGCGTTCGGTCCAGGGTGACTCCTAAATACCTACTTCACTTCGTTGGAAAATGTTAGCTGTGTACCGTTAAGGGTGAATGCTTTCAAATTTAGCTTCCTTTTTCTTGTGAACGGGACAAGGATTGTTTTGTTTGCGTTTAGGGATAATCCCTCGTCTTCGCTCCAATTTTTAACGATGTTTAGGGCACTTTGCATTCAGCTTGTCATTACGCCTTCATGTTTGCTCTTGATTATAATGGCCAGATCATCTGCATAGCCTGGTATCCAGCATTACTCAGTCTGGTAAGAATTTTGCCTACCACCAGTGTTCATAGTAGTGGAAAAAGAACACCCCCTTGAGGACACTAATGGTAGCGGTTTGTGGAGATAAACGGCATTTCATTTTAAAATTGTGCCACTTCGTACACATGTTCCCGAAACCCAGTTGGAGAAATTTGAGTTGCAGAGCCAGAAGTTCCATCCCTTAGGATTGAGAATGGCGCCTATTTTTAAAAATTGAGGTGAATTTCAGGTAATATATTTTTTTAGAGCGATTTTTACGTTTAGGATGTTTTCGCGGTTAAGAAATAACAAAGTTGGATATGGTTTCAAAAAAAATGGAAGGCCTGGAAAAAAATTGTTAACGTCATTCGTTGTGTTTACAAGATGGCGACGATATTTCAATTTTTCGAAAAACACAATTTTTAGTTTTTGCTCGATATTTTGAAAACCCCTGTAGATATTTTCACTTTCGATGCAGCATCTGATTGAGTTCGGAATAGCGCAACTTTTTTCCCTTTTAATCAAAATTGTATCTCTTACCGCTTCCGAAATTCCCGTATAGTTACTCGCCTCTGATTTTTGCAGTGTTCTTTCCAGTAAGAGCACTGTAGGGTGCAGGGAAAGCTTTTTCGCAAGCATAAGCACTTCCAAGCAAAAAAACATTATTTAATGGATTTCGGTGCTGCGATGGTCAATGGCGATCGAGTGCAGCTGCCTCTGCCAGGCCAGGGACTTTTTCAGGCGAGACAATTTTTCTCCTCTGTACTGAGATCAGTGACATCTACAATTCTAGTAATATTTTGCAGTGTTTTCAATCAGGGTCTGGTAAAACATGCTCTAATGCTCTCAGGTCCTGCAGAGTTTTACCAATAGATGTATAACTTGAATTTCTCTGTTCAGGGTTCGAGTTGCTTGCTGGGCTGAGTGACATAGGCAGCATAATGATCAATCCAAATCATGCACTGCAGCTGGTAAAGAACTTAAAGAAGCAATAGCCACTATCGCTTACGTTTTTTCGTCCCTTCGGCATTGTCTGTTGTCTGTTTGCTGAATGAAATAAATAAGTAAACTTGCATTGTGCATCAGTGGCTTTTACATGATGCTCAACCAAAAGAACACCATCTCGACTACCAAAATAGGTGGAAACTTTCAAATCTTGTCGGGCGATATTATTCAATCGGCCTTGATATAGGAAATGAAGCACGTTCCTCACACAAAAAATTAATTTTGGATATTATTTTTGTCATTGTCATCGGAAACAACGCACCCTTAAGGCGCTGTGCTGCGTCACCTCACACGCGCTATACTTAAGTGTCTCAATTTGCGCTTTGCCTAAACGTTTCAATTGTCTGTGACTTATGCAGACATATTTTGAGGAGAATGCCGATGATTATCAGCATGATTTAAGATTTAAAGAAGGATTTCTCAACTTTTAAAAATAAATTTGAATCAGAAACGAGCCCTGTGAATTTTATTCAAAATAAAGTTACATATGCTGATATATAAGGTCTCTGGTGAAGTCAACAAAATCAAGAATATCCCCAGCTTAATTCTAAAGCCTGAAAAAAAAAACAAAACTCACAAAAAACCAGGAAAGACTTACACAAAAATTTAAAGCTGCCGGCGCTTAATGTTGGAGTGAGAAGTACCTACTAAAAGGAGATTAATGATGGTGGAATGGTCATAAAATGTGTGACTAAAGAAGAAGGCGAAACACTTCAAAGAGAGGCGCAAAGAACGCTGAGCAATGACTATAACATCCATGTTACCAAGCTGAGATGCCCCAGACTAAAAATAGTTGATGTCACACCGGAAATATCATTAGACAATATTGAGGATGACCTCAGAACACAAAATTCTTATATTTTGGATAGTGATTACCTCAAGGTAGTCTTTGTGAGGGATCATAGGAACAAAAACACTAAAAATATATGTTTGGAGTGTTCAGGTGTTGGGTAGACCCATTACGTTTCCTAACTTTTTTGTTGCATTTTACGTTTCGCGATTTTCTTCTATTGTTATAATTTCAGACACTGAATATTTGTATTTATACCTTTCGTTAGTCGTTATATTTATTATCGTGCGAATTAGTGACTTTTTGTAGTTATACTAGCGTTTTTTGTGACAGTAGGTTCAAGTGTGTGACTATAAGTTTCCAAAATGGGCAAAAGCTCGCACTCCGCCATTAAGAAAAGCTGATAAGTCACCATATACGAGAGAAAACAAAAACCGGAAACTTTGCTTGTGGAGCCAGACCCAGGATGCGGCGGTTACGCACGTCATATCATAAGGAAGCGGATGAAAGTCAATCTCAAATGTTGGTGGTTCCTTCTAGGCAAGATGATGTGACGCCATGGTAGTAGTACCTCCAGTGCTGTGCCTAATACAATGGATTTGGAAAAATCCGTGTATTAGGAGAGAATTAAAAGAATCGGAAACATTACCGACCATAATGTTCAATGGACAATCGAGCGCTCATGAACTAGCAATACGAACTGAGTGTATTTTAGAGTTCTGCCCAGTAGATGAAAACATGTGGATAAAAAAAATTGAACAAATTGAATCAAATAATCGATATTACTACGATATATCATATGCAGGCCCGTTTAGGAGGTATAAACCCGAAAAGGTAAGAGGTA